GGCCCCCGGGTACTCGGCCTCGCGCCGCCTCACCGGTGACAGGCTAATAAACGCTACTCTGCGCGGCTCCGCCATCCCTACTGTTCTGGCCCTCTGCCCTCGCTCGCGCCGGCGGTCGCTTCTACGCCGAGTTGTTTGCCTGCTCGCCCTTCCTCTTGCTCTCCGTCGCTTTTTTTCCCTCCACCACCCTCAGCAGTCTCCGCCGACGCCACCGTGAGTGCGGACCGTGCCCCCTTCCCCGCCACTATGTTCTCATGGGCTCCACCGCCATCGCCAGGGTCGCCGCAGCCGCCATGTTGGATCCCCCACATAAATAGAAGCAGGCCGCTGAGCGGGCGCATGCGCACTCGGGAGACGCTCGCGTCCACCGTCGTGGCTGTGGCTCCGTGTTCCTTTCCTGCCAACAGTCTAGGAGTCCAGACAGGTCAGCGGAAGTGACGTCGTGGCAGGGCTGGTCTCCTTGGAAACGGAGACGCCGTCTGCGCTCTTCCTCAAAGGGAGGGGTCCGGGGGGTTCCGGAGAAGCTTCCTCTTCGCCTCCGGAAGCCGGAGGCGCCGGGTGAGGGCGAGCGTCGGGATGTGCCCGGGACCGACCTCGTCATGGCGCTGGGTCCCGCCTGGCACGGGCCTCCCGCTCCCGGCTCTGGAGAGTTGGGTTTGTCAGCTGCCTATTCAAGGCGGATTCCGAGACAGGGTGGAGGGACGCGAGGACCAGCCGATGTACCTGCCGGCCCAGCGCCCCCGGGGCCCTAAGTTATCGAAGGAAGAAAGGAAATGGCGAACTCCCGCCCGCCGGCCCGCCGCCCCCCTGTCCTCGGCCGACCCTGTTTTCCTCCCCTGGCCCCGGGGCAGGGGGGGAGGGGTTTTGTGTGTGGCAGGGTCCTAAAATGCTCCATACCGTTTTTGCACTTGTGAAACGGAACAGGCCAACGAGCATTTCTGGGCTCGTTCATAAAGCCTAAGCTGTGGATATTAATCGCAAAGTTCTTACGAGGGTTTGGTGGTATTTTAGGGGAGGTACTCTCTCAAAGTAGACGCTAGAAGCTCCCATTCGGGGTGGGGGAGACGCCTGGATTGGGGTCGCCCGGTGAGCACACCCCGATAAACTCGTGAGAACACACGGGAAATGGGTGACAATTTGTCCCAGTTTCCCTGGAGACGTAACCGCAGGTGGCCTAACTCCCAGGACGTGGACATGCCACCGTGAGGGCCGAGACACACTTTGGTTCAATGAGGCTGAGCCAATAACTCAAGTTCAAGAAGGGAGACAGAGCCGAACATAAAGCAGATCACACGGTTTATTTCCCAGGTCCCGACGGTTCTCGGCACCAGCAGGCCACCGGAGGATCCGCCGAAAGACACACAGGTCCAGGGATGCGGCCACCACGGCCTGGGTCACGGCAGTGCTCTGGAGGCTCTCGCAGAGGGATGCAGGGCAGAGCAAGGAAGGGTCCGCTTTCCCGGAGCTGGAGACAAGTCCGTGGAGGGCAGACAAGCGTCCAAAGATGTGGCCGGAAAGCTCCCGCTTTTGTACAGTTCAGTGAAGGGTGTGGTGCATCATGACGTCTTCAGTGTGTTTTATCCGGGTCCCACAGAGCGCGGGGCCGGGTTGGAAGCCCCGGCTACAAAGTGTTCGCCATATCGTGGCACGCAGGCCTCATAGTTACACTCCCTCGCACAAAATGGAGTTACTTATGTCAAGTCTCATACGTCACACACACATCCTGACTCTAATACACACACAAATCTATGTCTATAACACAATTGCCGTCCGTTTTCATCCTTTCAGGAGGAAGTAAAGTTCGGGGCTCGCCCTCCCCATCCTGAAGGAAATCCTGGTGATTCCATTAACGGGGTAAGTACACTGTCACCTGTTGAGGACCCTAAGTCAGTGTGACATCATAGACAAATTCTGAGTAGGTTCAGTTGTTCTGCTCTGCTACTGTTGTCCCTATTGGTATGAAGATGGTGATGGAATACATGGTTCCAGAGGTCCCTCCCAGCTCTAAAATGCTGTCATTTTTCCTTGGCACTCTTTTACCCGCAGTGTCCTCTTCTGATTCTGCATTAGAGTCTCATTTCTGGATTGTCTTAGTAGTACTTTAGTCACCTTTCTGTCTTCAGCCTCTTTCCCTGCCGGTCTTGCAATGGGGCTATAATAATGCTTCAAAAACATTAGTATTATAGTAGTATATCATTCTATCAATACTATAATACTAATGCTTTCCTAGAAGCTGCAGCTTACCTGCAAAGTAAGATGGTTTGCCCTCTGGAGTTAAACATTAGGAAAAACTAACTGGCAATAGCAGAGACAAACAGAAACAACATAAATGGGTAGAATGGACCACGGTGCATGACTTACGTTAGTCTTCTCTGAGGAAGACACGTTTACGTTAAGACCAGAATGTCTTGAGAAGATCATAAGGAAGGGTATCACAGAGAAAGAAAAGCAAGTGTCTGCATAGGGAGTGAGCTTGGGGGATTGGACGAAAGGTCAGAATGGCTGGAGCACAGAAAACAAGAAGGGGGGAGAGAGAGGAAACAAATCCCAGCAAGAGGTAGAGGCCAGGTCACCAGGGCAGGGAGATGATTCCTGAATTTGGCAAATGGAGATTACTGGTGACTTTGAGGAGCTTTTTTCGTTTGTGGCACGTTATCATCATTGGCCTATGCAAGGCCCTTCTCAATCTCTCTCTCTCTCTCTCTCAAATTTCTCTTATGGCCCCAGTAACTCTGAGTCACGCCAGCCGGGTAGCAGTCACCTGTATTGAATGAATGTTCTATGGGTCCTTGAAAAGGAATTCTGTTCTCTGTTTTCAAAGGTATAAGCTATAGTAACAATATATTCCTTAATATGATATTTAGGTTATCTATATGCTTTATTACAATTTTTTCCATTTCAACTGCCATGAACTTGAATCTCCTACTGTCATTGTAACTTTTATCTTGTTTTTTGAATATTGATGCTGTTTCCTTTGCTGCAAATTCAAAACTGTTATATCTTCACTGAGAAATAGACCCTTTATCATTCCAAGTGTCTTTCTTTGACTTGCTTAATGATTTTGACCTGGATTCAACCCTGTTTGATTGTGACACCTGCTCTCTTTTTATTTGCATTTGCCTGATTATACTATTGCCCATCTTTTATTGTCGGCATTTATGTGTAAATAGCAGAGAGTTAGGTTTTGCTTTGTGATCAATCTGCCAATCTTTCTCATTTAATAGGTGAGTTAAGCCTATTTACATTTTTGACGTGAGAGGTATGTCTGAGCATAGATCTGCCACATTATCTCGTCACATTTTCTCCTTTCAACCTTTTAAAAAAAAAATCCTCCATGAGCTGATGTTTGCTTTGTTTTATGTATGTTACTTCTGTTAATTTGGAAGGTTTATGTATTTTTTTCTAATGGGATTGTTAGGGGCAGAAATAGTATTGCTTTGTTTTATGTATGTTACTTCTGTTAATTTGGAAGGTTTATGTATTTTTTTCTAATGGGATTGTTAGGGGCAGAAGTAGTATTGCTTTGTTTTATGTATGTTACTTCTGTTAATTTGGAAGGTTTATGTATTTTTTTCTAATGGGATTGTTAGGGGCAGAAATAGTATTGCTTTGTTTTATGTATGTTACTTCTGTTAATTTGGAAGGTTTATGTATTTTTTTCTAATGGGATTGTTAGGGGCAGAAGTAGTATTGCTTTGTTTTATGTATGTTACTTCTGTTAATTTGGAAGGTTTATGTATTTTTTTCTAATGGGATTGTTAGGGGCAGAAATAGTATTGCTTTGTTTTATGTATGTTACTTCTGTTAATTTGGAAGGTTTATGTATTTTTTTCTAATGGGATTGTTAGGGGCAGAAGTAGTATTGCTTTGTTTTATGTATGTTACTTCTGTTAATTTGGAAGGTTTATATAATTTTTTTCTAATGGGATTATTAGGGGCAGAAATATTAATCATCCTCTGTTAACCATGATTTTTAGCTATAGTTATAAGAAGTGGGAGTTGTATGCCCCAGGACATGGGAGTTGACCTTGGAATGCTACCCATTCTCCTTAACTTCCTATCATCATTAAAAGATTAAGTCTGGTAGAAACAAAAGGGTCCCGGAGGTACCCCACCCTTTTGCAAACCCCAGCCCGAATTTCCTGTAACCTGTCAACCATTATACCCATTCTTGCCCTAGCCGGTTTGCCTCAGTGTTTAGAGCCAGATTGAAGGGTCCCATTCTTATTCCTTTTGTGCACTTCCCCATATAACCCTTGTCCTTCTACCCAATATAAGGAACTGGCTTATGGGGAAGGGGTTAGAGCACATTTTCATGGATAACCCTTACTGCTCTCCCATATTGCCGTATTGCCGGCAATACTGCAATAAATGCGCATTTACAATTCAACCCTTTATCTGCTTATCTGAAGTGGTGACAGGCAGCCCGGACCCATTGTGTGCAGTTTCAGGATGGTTTTATAATGTGCTTAAACCTCAGTTTCTTTGGACATTGTCTATAATTCCACACTATGATCAATGATAAAATGTATTTTCTTTTTCTGCACTTTAACTTGGCATTGTAAAGTACACTTATATACTTTGACTTATCACCTTTAATGACACTTTAAAGATAAAATATCAATGAACTACCTTTTTTCCTACCTTTCCGTCAGAGTTTTACTATTTCATATTTGATTACAGCTTCCACATACACATCACCAATTTTCTAGTGATATTTTCACCCACCATTTGTCTTCCTTCCTTTTTTCCTTTTCTCTTGTATTAATTTTTTTATGTTTTTATTGATTTTTTAGAGAGAGAGAAAGAGAGAGAGAGAGAGACATCAACTCGAGAGAAAAACATCGATTGGTTGCCTCCTGCCGAAACCACAACCTGGGCATGTGTCCTTCCCCTTTGCCCCCACCAACAGGGCAGTTCGTAGTTGTATCTGGCATTGAGATTTTATTTAAAGAAAGGGTTTTATTGCAAAAAAGTACAAACTTGTCTATAGAGTACATACTCAATACGCACACATCAGCTGACTGTATTCACCTGGCATTTTATTGTGTGCTGTCCTGCATTCTGCACATATCCCTGGAGTACAGAGTGAAAGTGGGTTCCAGGCGCATCACCAGGCTCCTAGCTCTACTCCTCTGAGAGCGTCCCTAAATAGGCCGAATACGGTTTGAACATAATCATAAAATATATATATTAGAATATAAGTATTTTATAGTGTGAAGAGAAAGAGGACTATTCATTTAAGTAAGATTGAGACAGTCCTAAATATAGGAACTAGAAAATAATTCATTTTTGCCATTGGAAAGTAGATAAAACTATTGAGATACAACGCCCATCTGCTTGCAGCATTTTCAAGGTGCCAGGCGGTAAAAGAGGAAAGTAGTCCCTTGGTTTCTGTGTACTTGGATGCATGTTGCATGTGTTGTACACATGGCAGAAGCCTGGGCATCTTGCTAGCTGCTGAGTTTCAGGATCCATTTTGACTGCTTCTCCCAAATGGGGCAGGAAATGTTCATTACATGGATACAGTCATTCCCATTGCCTTCTTTTACCTCTCAGGACTTTGTTCCTATTGACAACCACCACATCTTATTGTGTTTACTTATGTAGACTTCTGTTAGACTGAGCTTTTCTTTTTTAATGAAATTTATTGGGGTGACATTGGTTAATAAGATTATACAGGTTTCATGTGTACAATTCTATGATACATCATCTGTATACTGCACTGTGTGCCCACACACTGCGCTCCTAAGGGTCAAGACTGTGCGTTAGACTTATCTTTGCACCCCCAGCACCTAGTATATGCTTGGCACATAATCAAACAGTAATTAGATGGGAACCAGAATACACGAGGTCAGGTCTCACAAGTCCTCTGCTCTACCAGTAACTATATGCTTATTCAGTCAACAAGTATTTGAGGGCTTTCTGAGTGTGAGGTGGTGTACTGTACACTGGAATGAGCTCTAACTCAGCAAAGAGCCAAACCTAAATGATTTAGCAGCAACCATGAGCCTTAATGGATAGGGATTCTTAGGGACTATCTACTTTGCTCTATTATAGGAGTAATTTATGGAACCCCAAACTTTATTTTTCCTTCACTCTGGGGTCAGAAAAAAAGGGGCAAAGGCACAAGACATACCCAGGGCTCACACCACATTCGCAGAATATCATAATAAGAATCAAATAATAAACTTTAATTTAAACATATCCCAGTAGAATAATTATTTTGAAGTACAAAAATAATTGTAAAATGTTCGTCCATTTGCAAGTAATATTTGCTACAGACTATAAATAGTACATGGATGCTATGATCTGTACACAATACACGACATTCCTAGGCCTGGACCTTCCTCCCTCCTGTATCGTCACATGGAAAAAGGCAGCTGTGAAACCATTGTGCAGTCCTGAGACCCTGCCAAGACTTTGCAGAAGTAGCTACCCCGAATGGCAGAACTGGATGGTATCTTTCCTAAACCAGTCTTTATAGGTGTTTTTTTTGTTGTTTTTGTTACTGTTTTTGTTTCAATTCTATAGATTAATAGCTTTTTAAAAAATTACTCTAAAATTCTGGGAATTGCTATATTTGGAATATCAGTTTTTCCCCCCCAAAAGACAGGAAAACGCAGGGAGAAGTGTGAAATTCAACAAAAGCTCAATTAAAAGTAAATTGCCATCAGTGGAAAAGCGTTTCAAGTATAGGACATTTGAAAATAACAACAATTAACTGGAAGACAAATTTCATTGCCAAAAGCCACTGAGGAATTCCATCTGTTGTTTTCCCATTATGACCTTTCCTAATATTTTAAGTGAGGTAAGAATCACAAGGGGTCAAAACATTATAGCAGGCTCTTCCCTGCTATATTGAGGAAACAGAAGCTTAGCAGGAAAATGGGTGTAACTTTGTTTTCTAAAATTCAGTCATCCAGGCCAGTTTATTCTGATCTGTGCTCTGAACTGCTGAGATCTGAGCCTAAGACAAAGGATAAGAAAACTGGTCATCCTAAGCAGAGCTGAGGAACTCCTGCGGCTCTCCAGAAGGCAAAGGCTCTCTGAGGTCTTCAATCGTCTGTCCTTAGCTGCTCTGACTCCTGCCATGTTCCCATCTCTTCTATGCAGCTTCTTCACCCATAGGGATGGCTCTGTACTTTCTACACCTGTAATACTGGGCACCTTAAACTCATAGAAAAAAATATGGTGTAGAAACAAAGGTAATCTAGTACATAAAAACATGTAGGTCTATTTTCTGAAAATAGCTTGTGAGCCTAAGAATGCTCAGTTCTATAACAGGTTTATGTTGCAAAAGCGCAAAAACACGGGGCTGGAATATGACTTAGGATGGAGCCCAGCCATCAGGAAATCCCTCGAAGAGCTCTATGCAGTCCACATTCTACATCATTAACGTCACTAAATGGCCATAATGCATACATATACCCTTTGCAGGCCTACTTTCAAAACTATGTTTATTCCACAAGACATATGGAAGAAAAACCTAACTTGTTTTGTTACTTAAAATATAATGAAGAAATGACAAATGAGATTGTGTATTTTGCTTCCTGAAGGTGCCACACAGATTTTTTCATAGTACTCACCTTTTAAAAAATTGCATTGTTACTCCACTGCGACACGTTATTATCAAGAATTCAATTACTGAAAGATTAACCCCTAAGCCTATTATCTATTAATGACTGGGCAGCTTGGTAAAGGATCTTGCTGCCATTATTAGAATCATATCACTATTTATAACTTCTGTTCTCCTGAGATTCAGAGGCGCATTACAGACTCTTTATGGAATTCCCCAGCAACGAGGGATAGTGTACCGAGATGGCTAAAAATGAGATGACAGAATGATGGCGACTCGAGCATGAATGGCATTTGTTATTGCAGCTTGGAGAAAACGCCATAGAATGTTAGTGTAAAACAAAAAAGTTATGCCGTTTCCCTTAAAGTCAGTAAATTACGTAACAGTACTCTGAGTATTTTTGGAAGAAAGGCACCAGATAAGTCCAAAGTGTTATTGCTGGTCAGGTCACATAGGGGCCACAGCACAGACTATGGCACTTGGTTCGGCCAGGAGGCAGCCTAAGCTGGCACTGGTCTTGAGGCTTGAAGAGCAAGGACGGAAAACGTCAAGAAAATAGAGCCCTGCTTCTTACATTAAACTTGAGGAAAACGATTTCCAATTTTACGTCAAAGCAGCAACTGGTTCCCTCGGCCTCTGGAGCCATGTTAGACAGGCACCCTGTTCTCTTTGGCCCATTTCTTCATGATCCTGATGATGTACTCCACTTGGGTGTTACCCGTGCTTCTCAGTAGATGGAGCACTTCTCGAAGGGTCTCTCTGAGGAAAGGATTTGAAAGGACAAAGTGTTTCAATAGACAGTGAAAAGTAACAGGTAACAAACTCGTAACTGTTCTTAAAATACGTCTAGTAGGGCATTTTTGGTAAGACTGTCCCTGTGTATTTATAAGCCAATTACAAACTCCCTAGCTTTCTATCTTATGGTGGCAGAGTAAAATGAAAATTCTGATATCCTTCTTGCCAACCCAAGTTTTCCTTGTTTACTTATACTACCTACACACTTGTATTAATCTTTTTGTCTTAATATGACATGAATATTTCCATTTCTGTGCTAATTCTGCATGACAGAGTAGAAAGAGGGTGTATCAACACGCTGGGGTCAGACTTGGGTTCAAATTCTAGCTCCGTACTAACACTTAACTTGTCCGAGTCCCAGATTTCTCTTTGTTTTAAGGTAATAATCACCATAAGCTGGGTATCACTGCCATATTTGTGAAATTTTACAAAGCCACAGGAATGGATGATGTCTTCAAGAAAAAAATATATTAATAAATATGGCTAAGAAGAAAGTTAAGGACCAAGATTTGGCAAATGCCCAGTATTTATGTTTTAAGTAATTTAAATTTAATTACAATTAAAATTAATGTTTTAAGTAATGCATATTAAAACTCCCCTATTACCTTATCAAATCTACAGGTAACTTTGTATTGATTGTCTTCCCTAAGAAGCGTCTCATATGCCCTGACTGGTGAGGCTCAGTTGGTTGAGCACTGGCCCATGCACCAAGAGGTGGCAGGTTTGCATCCAGTCAGAGTACATGCCAGGTTGTGGGCTCAGTCCCCAGTAGGGGACATGCAGGAGGCAGCTGATTGATGTTTCTCTCATGGATGGTTCTTTTTCTATCTCCCTTCCTCTCTCTCTAAAATCAATAAAAACATACTAAAAAAAAAAAGAATTTTCTCATATTTTTTACTTCGTTTTTCCCCTCTTTTACTTAACCAAATTCTTTTAAGCCTTTATTTCAGGTTAGAAGTAGATACAAGGCAGGAGGTAATTTTTGATAGACTATTTACTTAAAAAATAATCACATCTCCTATTCACACATCATAACAAATACATTCCATGAAGTTATTTTTAGAACACTGAATTTAGTTTTTTTTTAAAAATATATCTTTATTGATTTCAGAGAGAGGAAGGGAGAGGGGGAGAGAGAGAGAGAGAGAAACGTCAATGATGAGAGAGTCATTGATCGGCTGCCTCCTGCACACCCCCAATTGGGGATCGAGTCCGCAACCCGGGCATGTGCCCTGACCGGGAATCAAACCTTGATCTCCTGGATCATAGGTCGATGTTCGACCGCTGAGCCACGCCTGGCCAGGCTGAATTTAGTTTTAAGCATTTCAGTTTTTGTTACAAATGGAGCTACAGGCCACTTAATTTTATATAATCTAATATATCTATTTTCTGGGTTATTAGAGGCACATGAAGAAAAAACTATCAACCACATCTACTCCATTCCTAATTCTCTGAGGCCTAAACCAAAAGACAAGAAAAAGCCAACAGGCAAAGAAAAGAGCAGAAAAGATTGAAGAAGACTTTTTTATGAAATGGCAATTCACATGAGGCAAATATCTATCTTGCTCTTAAATTTGAGAGCTGTAGTATACTCAGTGTCCCCAGGACACAGGATTTAGAATGATCTGATTCTATAAAATAAAAGATTTCTGGAGGAAAAAGGTCAGATAGAAAGATATAACATCTTAACTTTTATTCATCATTCTAAAACATCATAATTTTGAGTTTTCAGAAGAGGATGGTTGTCATCCATGAAAACAATTCTTTTCCCTCACAAACCAGCAAATGAGTAGCAGTAGTGCTTCTTGTCTGTGTACTTACTTGGGTTCTCGCCCAGCTAAGATCATCTGGAAAATGCCCACACAGGCACCCCTCTTGCCTTCCCAATATTCAGGGTTAGGATCCAGCCTCTCTAGGACATCGAAGGCTTTGGCTGAATAGTAAAACTGGCCCATCTGAATAAAAGAAAGAATTGTGCTAATACTTGTAGTCACAAGATTACACAGACTGAAACCAAACATAAAGATGCCGTGAAACAGAAGTGTATAAAATGAGTGCATGACATTTTCAGTTAGCAAATTAGATAAATTTAAATTCCTTATTAAACCAAGAAAAAGGAAAATCACAGTTTGGGTGCGTGGGTTCAATTTAAATCAGCTTACCTTCCTTCAGTTTTCAACACTAACATTTTTTCTATGCGTAGTCAAGTTATTCTGTAATCAACACATCTGTCATTTCTTCTAATTATATTTTAATCTTGAGGATAAACTCTGACGTCTGTGATCTGAACTGAGTATTTTTCATGTCCTCTCAATACATCCTGTGGGGGTTGCTGTAACTCATTTTATGCTAGTTTGACCGTGTTCAACCCCAGGATGGCCTTCCCTGACCTTGTCTAGGTTCTCAGTGTGCCTGGATGTATACTGACTACTACTCTCAAACACCAAATCTTTAAAACATTTTATTTCTTTTGACAGATTTCTTCCCCAAGTGTACTACAAATTTCCTTGGCCTTGTAGAACATGCTGAATGTCCTTAAATTCTGCTTAGATGAGTTTTCCTGACTGGCAGTCATAAACGCAGCGTTACCAGTTTCGCTGAAGGCTTCACATTGCTGAGCAATCCTCTGCTCAGTGCGGTTGAGTTACTTCTCCATTCCTGTGCACTGCTGTCACAAACACCAATTTCCTGAAGAGCTCTACTGCATTCTTAGCATAGCTTTTCTCTCTGCTTCAGAGGGAAAACACAACCTTCCTCCCTTCAGTTCAAATTATACCTTCATTCATCCGTCCCTCTTCTTTGCCTATCTCACAGGCAGAAGTGTTCTCACTCCTTTTCAAGGTTAATCCTTCCTAGATCCTCCTAAGCATTTTCTGAGTGAAATCACACACACAGAATGGTGCATGCAACATAAATGTACCGTTTAATGTCTGATTGCTAGGTGAATACAAGTGTAACCGCTACCCAGGCCAAGGAAGGAAACACTGACAGCAAAATGCAAGCTCTTTGCGCCATTTCCAGACCACAACCTTCTTCCCTCCAGAAGTAACTTCTATTCCAACTTTTATGGTCATCAGTTCTTTGACTTTCTTTATAATCACCTATGGATGTATCTTCAGACAATATAAATGAGTTTTGCTCTCAGAATTTTATCTATATGAAATAATACTGTAAATACCCTTTTGTGTCTTACGTGAGTTTATAAGATCATCTATACTGCTGGATATAGCTCTGGTTGATTTATTTTTTAAAAACTTTTAACTTTGAATTATAGATTTATAGAAAGTTGCAAAGATAGTACAGAGAGGTCCCATGTACCTTTCACCCCATCCCCTCACCTCCAGCCCCCACCCCCCACCTTGCAGCATAGATGACAATAATTCAATACCACAATCTCAAAACCAGGAAACGTACATGGCTACAATGTAGGGATAGTGCTGTCATTTTAACAAACGTATAGATTCATACAGTCGCCACCATCAACATGCACAACCGTTCCATCACCACAAAGATCTCCCTTGTGCTAACCCTTTATCATCAAATGCATTCCCCTCCCTGCTCCTAACCCCTGGGAATCACTAATTTCTTCCATAGTTATATAATGTGCAAGAATGTCAGGCCTGGCCGGGTAGCTCATTGGTTAGAGCGTTGTCTCAATATGTCGATCCCCAGAAAAATCAATGTTTTCCTCCCTCCCCCTCTCTAAAAAAAATCAATGAAAATTGCCCTGGACAGTGTGGCTCAGTTGAGCATCATGCAATGCACTGAGGGGTTGTGGGTTTGATTCCAGGTCAGGGCACGTACCCAGGTTTGGGGTTCCATCCATGGCCGGGGGGGAGGGGAGGGAGGCATATAGGAGGCAACCGATCCATGTTTCTCTCTCACTTCAATGTTTCTCTCTCTCTCCCTCTCCCTTCCTTTCTCTCTGGAATCAATTAAAAAACATATCCTCAGGTGAGGATTAAAAATAATTTTTAAAACGTAAATAAATAAATCAACACACTCACTGCACCTGCTTTCTAACCCAATTCTCCTCTCTCCCTATGGTTTTCCAGCCTCACGTAACTCCATCTCCTCGCATTTGACATTCTCCTTCCTCGGCTTTTGCTAACACGGGAAGAGCAGGGGGAAAGCAATGGAAAACACTTTCTCTCTCCTGGGTTTTTTCTTTCCTCTCTGTTCATCTTCGGCCTCTGTCTCCTTCGCTGACTCTTCTTTCCACTTCTGTCCCATAAGCACATGGCTCCTCACACCACCCCGTTAGTTTTTCCCTCTCAGACTCTGCTCCCGCTGCTGCTCCCGCTGCTCCCCCCGCCCCCAGGACGGCAGTGAACCTGCAGGGCTGCGTCTCCATCCTGACCTCCCACGCGAGCTCCTGAGCGCCAGCCAGGCTCACCCTGATCATTTCCCACAGGCACTAAGTGTCTCTGCCTGGGAGCCCCAAACACACATCAGGTTTTTAAAATCTAAAATTGAACTAAATTCCTGGCTTTTGAGGTTTTCTTTCCTTCTGCCTCCCCTAACTCACTTACCATCAATACCACCCACCAAGTCATGTTAAACAATTTCAAGTTTCCTGTTTTAAAACCTTTTGCATTGATGGTGACTCACTTTATTTTTGTAGTGAGTCGCTTTGAAATGAGATTTTATTGACTAACACTAGACTCTCTTTACCTTTCCGTGACATTTTTCTGTCTTTTGGATGGGAAGAAATGTTCCAAAAATAGGAATTTCTGGAATGTGAGGATAATTTTTTTTAAAGCTTTTAAATTTTTTTAAATCCTCACCTGAGGATATGTTGTTGTTTTTAATTGATTTAAGAGAGAGTGAAAGAAACACTGATGTTCAAGAGAAACATTGATGAGTTGTTGCCCGTAGGTGCCCTGACCTGGGATCAAACCTGCAACCTAGGTATGGTGCCTTGACCAGGATTCGAACCTGCAACCCTTTGGTGTATGGGATGATGCTCCAATTAACTGAGCCACCAGTCCAGGGCAAAAAAAGCTTTTAATTTCTAAAAAGCTCCTCCCTGCCTTTCTACACACACGCACACAGTCAGACCTTTACTAAATGATGGCTTTTTAATTTTCTTTCTCTGTTCCTTTGTCTTTTCTCTCCACTGTTTGTATATTAATATTCCTCAAGGTCTGGTTTGCAACCATCTCCTTTTCTCACTTTACTTTCTTACCTGGGCAATCGCACTGTTTTTCAGGGTTCCAATTACTACTAAAATGTTGATGATTTCTCCAAATCTATGTCTCCAGATGTCAGAGGACATCTTTCTTGAGCTTCAAAACCAAATTTCCAACTCCCAGATGAGTATCTGCATCTGGATGCTATCTAAAGATGCACAGCCTTTAGAAATCTGAAACCTCCTCTCTAAGATATTTCATTTACACATAAAAAACCCTGACACACTGTATATTTTTGAGTTCGGTTCATTCACAATAGAGATGACATTTCTGATATCACTATGCAGATCCCCTCACTAATAGCCATTTAGTCTCTAGGACACTTTTCCCTAACATTTAGCCAACACAGCAATGTGATACAGATCTTCAATTTCCCTTTGCCTCATTCAGACTCACCTTGTAGCAGTCATTAGCAATGAGCTGTAAGAGGCTAAAGGACTCCCCGGAGGTCTCCATCTTGAGATAAAGTTCCCAGGCCAGTCTTGGTTTCTTGTTCATTATATCTACAAAAAGGAACAAAGATTCATGTTTTTTAAATGTACAAGAAATACACTTCTGCATCTTGCTATTCTGTGGCTCTGGTTCTATGTTTCAAATATACAAAATAATGGTAAGTAGCTCTTACATGGAAAGCTTGCAATGTTGGCATTAAGCTGGTTCCCCACCTGAGTTCCTAAACTGAGTTCCCCATCTGAATCCATACTTAAAATTTTTATTTAAGTTAGGATTCAGATAATTGTCTTTTTAGGTTGGGTAGAATGCCAGTTTCCACTTAGATCATCTGCTTAACAGAGGACACTGTCCTATCATTCATTCAATTCTACTTATATATTTTCAGCCTCACTTAGAATATCTGGTCGTTAAAAGGGAGAGACAGACAGTGACTGTAATGTAAGCTAAATATTTTTAAAATTATGTTTTTGACATTTTGCCCATTTTTAGGCCTGCATCATAGTGAAAAGATAAAATCAGCATAACAATATCATTTCACAGAAACCCACTCTAACCTGAGACTTTGGAAACTTTAGCAGGAAAAACCTGGCATCTTTCAGGACTATACATGCTAGGTCAATGCTACAGACAGAACTAATCACAGGGTAAACATATGTGCATGGCCACCCTAACTGACTAGCATTAATAACGCGACGTTGGTGTTCCCTTATTCTATAGAACAAAATACAAAACAAAATTAGAAAGTGCTCAGAATAATTTCCATCCAGAAGATTATACAGCAGAGAAGAAAAAGATAATTCCTCTGCAATATTTAAAAGAAGACTCATCCCAGCCAGCATAGCTCAGTGGTTAAAGGTCCACCCATGACCTAGGAGGTTACTGTTCAATCCCCAGTCAGGGCACAAGCCCAGGTTGCGGGCTTGACTCCCAGTAGGGGACATGCAGGAGGCAGCCGATCAATGATTCTCTCTTATCATTGATGTTTCTCTCTCTCTCCCTCTCCCTTCCTGTCTCTGAAATCAATTAAAAAAAAGACATTAAAAAACAGTAAAATAATAACAATAATAATAAAAGAAGACTCACAGAATGGTCATGGGGATGTAAAGTACAGCATAGGGAATATAGTCAATAATATTGTAATAAGTATGTATGGTGTCAGATGGGTACCAGACTTATCAGGGTGATAACTTAGTAAGCTATATAATGTCTAATCACTGGGTTGTACCCCTTAAACGAATATAATATTGTATGTCAACTGTAATTGAGAAATAAAGATTTAAAGTAAAAAAAAACAAAAAACACAACAAAAACTCACAGCACCGAGCTAACCAACTGAGGTAAATGTAATCATTTTTCAACTTCTCACTTTGGATTAAAAGGAAAACCTGCAAGAGGAAAGAAAGGGAATAAACATGCAGATGGTTCTGCAGTAAAAACATTCATATCAGCTTATCTTACATTAATGATTAACACAGCATTATAGATGACCAAATTCTACACAAGCTGCTAAGAAAGTGGTGAGTTTAACCACTTCTCTCTATCAATATCACAAGCTGACAAATGGTTGGTAGAAGATTTGAACAGAGTAATTAACAACTGCACAATATATATTATTTTCAAGAACACACGACCAGTCCTGGCCGGTGTGGCTCAGTGGTTAGAGTGTAGGCCCATGGACTGAAGGGTCTCGGGTTCAGTTCCAGCCAAGCACACGTACCTTGGTGGCAGGCTCCATCCCAGGGCACGTGTAGGAGGCAACCAATCGATACTTCTCTCTCTCTCCCCGCCCCCCCTTCCACTCTCCCTGAAACGCAATGAAAAAAATATCCTCAGGTGAAGATTAAAACAATTTTTTTTAAAATTGCCCATGCTCCTGGGCAATTTTAAAGGCCCGGTGTTATACAGACCACATTCTATGACCACAATACAATTAAGTTAGAAATAAAAATAAAATAACCTGAAAAGGATAATGCATGTTTGAAAATCATGAAACACATTTTCAAATAACTCACAGTCAATAAAGGAACCACAATGGAAATTGGTTGAATAATTTGTTAAATAACAAAATTCAGTTGCATAATTTAACTGAATTATTTTGAATAATTTAGACAAACTACCCTATTAAGTTAGACGTCAAGATCATCGATAGCCCTGGAGGAAGGAGATTGACTCGAAAAGGGAATGAGGGGTTTCTAGGGTTATGGTAATATCCTGTTTCATGATTTGGGTTCTGATTTAGGTCTGTTCACCTTTAAAAAAATCCATCAAGCTATATACTTTGATTTGTATACTTTCCTCCATGTATGTTATGCTTTTATAAAATGTATCAAAAAAAGGAAAACATTACTGTGGTTATAAAGCCCATAAGTCTATTCCCATTGTACTTTTTTTTTTAAATATGTCTTTATTGATGTTAGAGAGAGAAAGGGAGAGGGAGATAGAGAGAAACATCAATGATGACAGTCATTGATCAGCTGCCTCCCCACACGCCCCCTGCTGGGGATCGAGCCTGCAACCTGGGCATGTGCCCTGACCAGGAATCAAACCGTGATCTCGATCGTAGGTCCATGCTCAACCGCTCAGCAGTACCCAGCCGGGCCCATTGTACTTTTTAATATGACCTAAGAAGAAAGAAACTTAATAATCCTTTACCCTCAACATTTTATTTCAGTGAGAAAAAGACAATGGGTTTTTTTTTAACCCTCACCCGAGGATCTTTTTTTTCCCCATTGCTTTTTCAGAGAGTGGAAGGGAAAGAAAGACAGAAACATCAAGGTGAGAGAGACACATCGAGTGGTGGAGCGCCAAGCCTGCAACTGAGGTATGTGCCCGTGGCTGGAATCAAACCCAGGACCCTTCAGTCTGCAGGCCAAGGCTCTAACCACTGAGCCAAACTGGGTACGGCAAGACAACAATGTTTTTACACAGAATCATTCAAATGCCTTCCAAAACAGGTACCCACCTCTTCACCCTCACTGGTATTGCCTGTTGCAGCCTTGGCTTGGGCATAATTAAAGTTAAAGATGTCATCATTATAGAAGTAACTCTGAAAAACATCCCAAGAACAGGTCACAATGAGCATTAACATATAAAATAGAAAGACATCAGTTATACCAGATAAACACAAAAATAAGCTTAAGGAATTAGCCGATGCCACCAACGCCACCATAGTAAAAGGGCCACCATCTCTAAGAGTACATTTTCTGTGACACATTATATATAGTATTTTGTATACAAACTCATCTAGAAAATTCTATACTGACCTTAAATGAGTTGAGGTAAATCAAGACATCATCAAATTGCTTGAGCAGGAAGAAACAGGAAGCCATGCACTGCCTCCCCGGGATCGTATCTGAAATGAAATGGAATGGCAAAGATACCATGTGTATTCATGAAGCTAAAAGGTGTCTTTAGCTGAAATTTCACTTATTTTATAATGTAGAGATAGGAATATATTCCAAGACAGCTTTCTAGATTCTGAAATTACAGATTCTGTTCAGTGGACTCCTCCTCAGTGTAATGGAAATCACTGTGCTTGAGGGTGACCAATAATCTCTCTCCATGTTAACTCTGAGTCCAGAATGAACACATGCCCCGCAGGCTACTGTCTCCAGATCTTTTTTATTTCCCTGCCCAACTCTGACGCCCGCAGATGCAGCGAATGTGGCCTGGTCTCCACCATTACTCGTCTAAGACAACCTTGCACTTTCAATCTCAAATGGAGAACAAATCTGCCATGGAACCACGTGATCCTGATCCTGACCCACCCTTCTGTCTGATACCATATTTCTATTTGAGGGGGCAAACGGTTAGTGTAACCCCCACGCTTGCCACTGGCACTCCCAATCCTCCTCATTCTGTTTCTGCTCAATTTCTCTCCCATACCAAATCATCACAGTCATATATACTATACAACCTATTTGTCTTTTATGGTTATAGTCTGCCCCACTAGACTGTATGCTCCACAAGGGAAGGGGGATTTGTTAGTTTTGCTTACTGCTATATCCACAACACCTCAATAAATTTTTGTTGTATGAATGAATGAAATGGGGAAAGGAAGTATTATTTGATAAATGATTTTGGTGAAACATTTGACAATAAATATCCAGGGGCGGTAAAAATAACCACCAGTTTGGCATGAACACATTGTCAGAACAGACGCTGGCCACAGAACACTGGTATGAATAGCCACTGGCTACTGGCAGCTTTTTACAGCTTTTTCTCAGGTCTTCCACTGAACCTTAACTGATGAAATCAATAATAACAGAAACAAAACTACTTGTGGGAAATATAGGTGAATATTCTATAACTCCAGGGGTAAGAAAGCACTGTCTAAGCTAGATACCCATGGAAGAAATCATCATGGAAAAGGTAAACTTAATTAAGTAAGATTTAAACAGTTTTATATAAGCAAAAATATGACAGGCAAAGTTAAAAGTCAAATGACCCACTGGGGAAAATATCTACAACATGACAAAAGTTTAATACATAGAGAGCTCTTGAAAAATCAATTAAAATTAACATTTCAAATAAAAAACAAAATCAAAATGTTGAAACTCCCGTGAACTAAAGAGCATTTACTCTCCATTTTTATCTACTCTCATCTCGCTTCAGCCGAGATGCTGGGAAGAGGGAGTCCCGATCCTCCCTCCAGTGTGCGATTCCCTGTTTATCCTGGGAAAGCCAGCAGACGTATCCCTGGGCGGAGAGCCGACCTCCCCAGGCAGTATGCGACCAGCTCGATGGTGAGTCATGCTCACCAGTACAGATTTCAGACCTACCGCATTCACTAGCTGATCCTCCCACCAGCTGGAAGAACTGCTGGGCAATTTTCATGTGATCCCTCTGGAAAGCAAAGCAGTGCTGATATAGAGCAGTAAGCTGGAAACGTTTTATTTGTATTATACTTTATGACATTAACATATTTGTCAGGATTTAACACGTACCCTTGTTTTAAATTGTCCTAAAACAAAACTAATTCTGATTAGCATACAACTAGAAAATGATAACCTGAAACTGAATTAAAACCTACTCTGGGTCAGACAGAAAAGGAAAGGAAAATCCATCCCCTAGTTCTGTCCTAAAAGTACCTTCACTAAATGGACTCACTCATTTACCCAACAAATACCTATTACTCTTTCACCATATATCAAAACTTATAGTAGGACTTTGGTCATAACAAGGAGTATTTATTAAATAAACTCATTCATTTATTCAGTAATTATTTACTGCCTATCTGTTTAATGAGACACTGTGAAGGGAGCTGGAGATAAGATTTGCTTATATCCCACTTTGTTCCAAAAAGAACTTAATATTCTTATTTAGAATATTAGAATTCTAAAGAATAAAATAATTCTTATTCTTTTTAGAATATTAGATGAATAATATTTAGATGATTAAGGGCTTAATTTTAGACACAGTTTTTGTTTATAATGAGCTTTCCCACAGAAACAATAATTACCATTTTACAGATGCCAAAATCATAGCTCAGAGGTGTGCAATGTTAAAAAAAAAGTAACTGAAAATAAGAATAAAGCTGTGCAATGATTTGTTGTTATTAGATATACACACTGTTTAAAAATTGGCCTCTTTTTAAACAAAGCAACAATTCTTAGCATTAAAGCCTTTTGTTTCTTCTTTAACACAGAATTCTTTTTACAATGGAACCTGCTTGGGGCATATGGAGAAATGACGTGCAGAAGAGCCTGCTTGCAGCCTTATTGTTGGTTGAACTCTGACGTCTGTTTTTCCCCAGTATACTATCACTTAGCAGACTATAGGTTACCAGTGATTTCATACTCACCGACCCCATTTCCTGGCCAAGGGCTGCATTGACCACTCCTTTGAGGATATACTCCTGGAAACATGCAATAACACTGACTGATTTCAAAGGAATGAGGAGCTACGAGGTATCTTTCAACTTAGTTATTTGCATCAACTCAATACTTTACATATATTATCGAAAGTTACCCAGGGTCACTTTTCTCTGTTCTATTCCTGTCCTGAATGAAAGAATTTAGAGATTTTCACTTGGTTTCCAGCAGGTAGTGTCTATATAACAGAACTCATCATATTTGTAAATTCTCAATCTTAAGCAGAAATAACTCAGTGGAAACTTATAGGAGTTATGTTTTGTTTTAGTTCAATACAATGGAAACAAATTAACAGTAAAATATTTACATAATAATTTTTATCACTTTGTCAGCACTGCCATTCTCTGTGGCCATATCATATATTTTATTTCCCCTTTCCAATGATACAACAACCTTCCTTTGCTAGTGATTCTCTATTTTTAAAAAAGTGTGCTTTGGTTTCCATTTGTAAGGTATTCCCTTTTGGAGTCCTAGGGCCTTACCTACACCCCTTTCAGACTTGGTTCTGTTCTTTAACAGATACCCTTCTCAGCAGCTTTATAAATTTTTATGTGGTGCTCTTTTTATTTAAGAAGGCTCATGAAAAGGATCACATAGAAGATGCTGACACTTGTAATACATTTGAGAAATACACCTGTTTAGAATTGATGGGTCTGGAAACATTTTTCAATCAGTGTTTCATTCAATATGTAGAATGACAACTGTGTGCTTAGTGTACATAGCATTGGAGATAAAACACAGACACAGTCCCTGACTGCAAGGAGCTAATAATCAGGTGAGGGAAGAAAGACAAGTTACAGCCGTTGCTGAAAAGCAATGGAAAAAACATTCTTGGGTGAGGGTTAAAAAAAAAGAAAGACAAGTTACAGACAATTATACTTGTGATATAAGTCACCGATTTCATCAGAATTCTAGATTTCAGTATTTCTTTTTCTTTCTTTCTTTTTTTTTAGAGAGTGGAAAGGGGAGAGAAAGAGAAACACTGCTGTGAAAGAGACACATCTATTGGTTGCCTCCCTCACACACCCCGACCAGGGCCGGGGATGGAGCCTGCAACGAAGGTACATGCCCTTGGCCGGAATCAAACCAGGGACCCTTCAGTCTGTGGCCTGACACTCTAACCACTGAGCAAAACTGGCTAGGGCTAGATTTTAGTATTTTCAAACCTCAACCCTTTTGAGGAAATGACCATATATAAGGGAGCTTAAAAATATCAAAAAACCCAGAACATTCATTCTTTTTTTTTTTATTATTAATGAAGTTTTTTATTGATTGATTGCTATTAGAGAGAGAGGAAGGAAGAGAGGGAGGGAGAAAGAGAAAGAAACATCGATTTGTTGTTCCACTTATTTATGCATTCATTGGTTGATTCTTATATGTGCCCTGACTGGGGATCGAACCCACAACCTTGGCATATTGGGATGATGCTCTAACCAACTGAGATACCCGACCAGGGCCAGAACATTCATTCTTATATAAACAGCCTCACATAACATTCCTAGGTCAATATACACGAACTTTCCTGGGATTCTATAAGCAGGAATCCTCTTTAATATGCCTTCCAGCTACGGTTCCAAATTTCAATTTTATGCAGAACTTGGTTAGTAAAAATACAACCCATTCTCAGTTACCTGAGGAGTAGTAGGTTCCAGATCCTTGATTAAGTTATAAGCTTCTTGTACATCATCTGAAATACAAAAAATAAGTAGCTATACTTGTCTATATATCAGCACTCTTCTGAAACAGTCCCCAAAAGCAAGATCCTTCAGTACGCAAACATTCATGAGAACCATGGTCTACTTTATCTGACCTCTAATTCTCTGTCAAGTTCAATGTTGAATAGTTATCCTAAAGATAACCAAATATCCTTATGAAAACCACATAAGCCAGGAAGCATCTAAAAAATGTTCAAGCAAAGAATATGGGTTGGGTATTACATACCAATGACATTACAGTTATCTAAGAAAAACAACCATTTCCTAAATATATTTTTTTCAACAACAATTAAGAGATATTTACAGGGGTGGGCAAAAGCAAGTTAAATTACTGACCATCATTACCTAAAAGATAAATCATACGTAAGGATAAGAAATAATAGCAATAAGAAGAAGACAGCCTGGTCAAGCGTGGCTCAGCGTCGACCTAGGATCCGGGAGATCACGGTTCGATTCCTGGTCAGGGCACATGCCCGGGTTGTGGGCTCCATCCCCAGTCGGGGGCGTGCAGGAGGCAGCCGACCAATGACTCTCATTGTTGATGTTTCACTCTCTCTCCCTCCCTCTCCCTGAAATCAATAAAGTTATAAAAAAAGCTAAGACAATACAAATAAGTAATACAATAATTAATAAATAATAATACAAGAATAAACTGCCTCGTGTGCTCACAACTGCAGACCTACTTTTGCCAACCCCTGTACTAAGCATGTAGGTGTGAAAGGACATGACGTCTGGGATTTGCTTTCCAACATCTCAGCAACAAAAAAGGGAGGGGGGGAGAAATGAGAAACGATGGTCAGTATCTTCAAAACTCTGAATCTGGGATGAGTATTTGGGTGTCCATACTAGTTACTTTTGTTTATGTCTGAAAATTTTCATAATAAAAATTAATTTAGCCCTGGCCAGGTGGCTCAGTTGGTTGGAGCATCATCCGTCACCAAAAGGTGGCAGGTTATACTCCCAGTCAGGGCACATAGCCAGGTTGCAGGTTCAATACCTGGTCGGGGCACATGCGAGAGGCTACCAATGGATATTTCTCTCTCATCAATTAAAACAAAGACAATTAAAAAATTAATTTATAAAATGTTTCTTTAATTCTTGTCCAAAAGTACATTTCTTTGTACTTATATATCACATAGAGAGAACTATTTGCAAGTCCCTGTTCTTATTTTAATAAGCACATTTTCCTCAGTGAGAAATATGATGTCTGACTGGTTTTTACTGCACACCCGGAAGGCCCACCCTGTTAGTCTGAGGTCCTTGACAGACGGCCACCACCAATGGGCAGCCATTACTACCCTGTACTTAAAACTTAAGATAAAAGGCTGCTTTAGGCATGTGCCCACAATTTTAACCTTACCTAGGAGCAGTATTGCATTCTCTTTGAATCATAACATTTCTCATAAGAAACCAGGGGGACAAGAAACACACAGGGAGACAATTAGAGCAAATAAAAAACAGTTGGGCCCGGCCAGGCGCGGCTCACTGGTTGAGCATCAACCTAGGATCCAGGAGATGTTTGATTCCTGGTCAAGGCACATGCCCGGGTTGTGGGCTCGGTCCCCAGTAGGGGGCGTGCAGGGGGCAGCTGATCAATGACTCTCTCATCATTGATGTTTCTATCTCTCCCTTCCTCTCTCTGAACTCAATAAAGACATATTCAAAATAAATACATACATACATACATACATAAAAATACAATGAATAGACATTTTAAAAAAAAGTTGATGGAAAAAAGGCTTAAGAAATTGTGGATGCGCATTATACATAGGGGGACTCTAGAAAAAAAAACATGCCAGGGAGAGGAAGGGAAAACAAAGGAACAACTGAAATACGGTGGTTAAAGCACAAAGGGGAGACAAATGAGAGGAAAACAGAAAAACAGAATGAGGGAGAAGGTTGGAAGTGACAGAGGGGGAAAGAGGCTACGGAGAAAGGGCACAACCAACCAGGTTGCAGGCTGTGCACCTGGCACCAAAAATCTCGCTCTGTCCTATGAATATATAGCGCAAATGTTTTTGGAAGTATTACAGATTTTAAAAGCTAAGCAAATAGTTCATTTAGAGATTAAATGTTCTAAAATATATCTTTATAAGCAAGACCAAGACCAAGTTTTCTTACCTTGACGAAGGTAGTAGATCACCAAGTTTAGCCTGGCTTCAGGAATGACATCAACCAGGGGAGGCAAAACCTGCAAAGCCCCTTCACCTCCTCGGAAAACCACCTAGGGATGGAGAAGCTGTGTTGTTATGGCAATAAGTGCAAATATATTTATTGGTGGAATTGTTTCAGATCCTAGGTCAATGCTCAACCGCTGAGCTACGCCGGCCGGGCTTTTGTGTCAATTTTATTATTAGACCGACCAAAAGAACTTAGAAGAGTGAAATAAAAATTAATTTTCCTCCCTTATATATACGGGGTGGGCAAAAATAGGTTTACAGTTGTATGTTAAACAGTTTATTCCTGTATTACATTATTTAATTATTTATTATTGTATTATTTATTTGTATTACAACTGTAAACCTACTTTTTTTTGCTCACCCTGTATATTACTGCCCTCCCAATATCAATTTCCTTGATGAAAAGGCTTGATATTTTAAACACATTTTCTCTCTGTTATAGGATAGTAAAAGCTAGGAACATTTCAGGACCCGTGGAATAGGGAAACTGAGAAGTTTAGTTAACAGCAGTTTGCAGCCGCCTAGTAAATCCTGTCTTCCCTAAACCCAGGACGCTTGAGAGTAAATGGTTTGCATTTCTCCTCCCCAGCCAGAGGGTAAATAGCTTAACTCTTACTACCAAGGGAGACTGAGAGCAGAGATCCAATTAGTGCCATTTGCCAACCACACCCAAGGACAGACAAATTAAAAATAAACTGCATTTTGGTCCATCAGCATGAAGCTCATGAATATTCTATTGACCCGCCCTTAAGACCTCTCCTAAACGCCCAGCCTTTAAAACCCCTGAAAGTGAAGGTCCCAGTGCCCTCTCCCCCCTCCCCACCCCGGGGAGAGTGTGGGGGGAGCACACCATTGCCATCTTCTCTCTTCTTCCATCTAAGGGACCCAATGAGACTTGCAATAAGGGGAGCAATGGGCAGCAGCAGTTCCTCCGGCCTAACCCCCGACCCTGTCCCCAGGCGCCCCCCCTTTCCCCCTTCTCTCTGACTTCCGAGTGAGCCAAGGCAGCCCAGCCTAGGCTCTCCTGGTACTTCTTCTGTGCACCTTCCTTGTTTCACGGTCCTAAGTATATTTTTGCTGCAATCAATAAATTCTTGCTTTCTCCTTTTCTGCACTTTGTCTTGATTGAAATCTTTCTCTCAAGAAGATAAGAACCAAGGTCTTGTGTCTCCCCAGTAGCATCTCCACAGCAAGGAAGAGTTCCCTTGGAGTACAGGAATATTTGCTGAGCTACCTCCCTTCATTCATCTTTCTAACTGCTGAGATGTACAAAATAGGGTAAGATTCAAGTCAGCCAAGATGGGAGATACTATTCACCAGATTGTGCCTGATGAGTTCTTTCGCAAATTCGAAGGAAGAAGAAGCGTTGTCCATCAAGCTTTTGAGTTCTGCCTGAAATTGAAAAAGGAAAGACTTATGAAAACAACACGTGTGTAGTTCTAACACCACATATTTGTGCAATGCTTTATAGCTTCAAAGAATTTAACATGCTATTTATTTTGTTCAGGACTCTAAGAAGTAATGTAATTATGATTATCCTCGTTTTAATTGTTTTTAAATATATATATATGTATATATATATATATACATATATATATATTTTTTTATTGATTTTACAGAAAAAGGAAGGGAGAGGGAGAGGGAGAGGGAGAAACGTTGATGTCAGAGAGAAATATCCATCGGTTGCCTACTGCATACACCCCGAAAGGGGATCGAACCAGCGACCTTTCAGTACACAGGATGGGACTATACTCAACCAACTGTGTCACACCGGCCAGAGATATTCTCATTTTACAGTTGAGAACATTGACGCCTATAAAAGTTGTGACCTGAACCTTACACTAAGTAGCAAATTTGAAATTGGTGAACCCAAGTTTGAAGACTCCTAGAGTTAATCTTTTCTATCAGGGCCAAAGGTAATAAAGGAGCTAAACTTTTAGTAACTGAGGTTAATTCTTCAATCTGACCATGCCACCTATATTCTGAACTCTCATTGTACCTCCTTCCTGCTGAATTGAAAATACCTCTTCCAGTCCTGGACCGGTAGCTCAGTTGTTTAGAGCATTGTCCCCATACAACAAGGTTGCAGGTTCCATCCCTGGGCAGGGCACGTACAAGAATAAACCAATAAATGCACACAAATAAGTGGAACAATAAATCGATTTTTTCTCTCTCCCCATTCACTCTCTCTAAAATCAATCAATCAATAAAATAAAATACCTCTTCCCTCTGTTTTATTATTTATTAGACCTATCAGATCTCTTCTATGTTCTCTTGGCCCCTTACCAGCCCTTAGAACAAATGGCCAGCCATTTCCAGCATAGTCACTAATACACAAGATACTCACTCACCCCTTCCTCAGCTTTCTGCTTTCCCACCTCGCCAATCTATAATTATGAGTAATCCTCTCTTCCTCCCTTTTCCACTTTCATCAGTGGTAGCTAAGGTTTTCTGGATAAAATAGTTAAATTCTTGATTAGTCTCACTAACTACTACAAGCTTGTTCTACCTGATCTTGACGGGAGTGCACATCTATTCAGCAATCCTTTTATTAATCTCTTTTCGTGATCGCAGTAGCAGTTCCAAAGAGTTGGGTAATATTAGGCTAGATCAGCAGTTTTTAAGCTCTTAAATCTCAAGATTCCTTTTATAATCTTAAATATTATTAAGGATCCCAAAGAGCTCTTGTTTATGTGGATTATAGTCATCAATATTTATTGTAGTAGAAATTAAAACAAAAAATTTTAAATATTCAATTAATCAAAAAATATAAACCTACTATACATTAACATAAATAACTTTTTTTAAAAATATATTTTCCAAGACAAAAATTTTGTGAGAATGGTGGGACCAGGCCCTGAGTGGGTCTGCCTAGGGTCAGCCGGTAGTGTGTGGTTTTTTTCTTTTTTTAGCTGTATAGGACAAGTATAATTTATACATTTAAAAAAGTTATAATTCTACAGTTCCCAGGGGGTAAATGTTATAGTCACTGAATGACTCTGCTTGATATTATGTCGTCTTCAGTGTATGGGTTCTTGACTTCTGGTAGGAAAGACTTCACAATATGAGTCCAGGTGACTATGAGGGTACATTTATTAAAGGTGGGGACAGGGAAACAAGGAAGGGTTTAGCATAGAAAGCAACAGAGAGCCCAGGCTGGGCTGCTTTGGCTCACTGGGAAGTCAGAGAAAAGGGGGCCTTGGAGACAGGTTTGGGGGTTAGCCTGGGACAAACTGCTGCTGCCCATGGCTCCCCTGGTTGCAAGTCTCGGGGACCCTTAGAATTTAAGAGATGCATGCCTGTGGGGGAAGGGAAAGGGGAAGGGGATGGTGCAGGTGGGTTTTTCTCTCTCTTGCTGGTCTGAATCTTAAGGGAGGTATCAGAGGAGGGTTTCAGCAAAATATTCATCAGTTTTCCCGATAAGCACTTTCATGGTTGTGGTCTCTACTGATTGGTCAGTGCCGGGACAGGTGGTCATCAGTCATTGCAGCTGGTTCTAGCATTGCCCACCTGGTTTTGCAGCTTTTCTGAGCCTGGAACTGAAATACAACTGAGGCCTAGATGCTATCTCTAGGGAGGTGACCTTCTATATCTGGCTGTAAATTGCTCAGCCAGTTTGTTTAGCTCTCTGTTCAGTTTCTCTGTTCCACTTGTCCTGGCTTACTGGCCTGTCTCACTGTTTTACATGTTTGCAAATATCTTTAATGTCTGGCTTAATAGCAAACAGCTAGATAGGCATATCTGTAACTGCATTTGAACTGTATTGAAATCACATTGTCTCTGGAAAACTTGATTGAACACTTGAGAGAATAAAAGTGAAAAGGAAACGTCTTTTAGTTTTCTGAGGATAGTTTTAATCTCAGGCAGGGCCAGCCAGAGCTCAGGGTGAGGAAAGTGAGGCACCCAGGGCATAGATTTAAGGCATACCACTCACATCTGTGCAGTGTGCAATTGCTGACTTTTCAGTTTTGCCCTGGGCAGCAGCTTGCCTCTCATAAGTCCAGGCCCTGCCTCACAGACGCCATGAAATGGAATCCCAGAGCACAGTTTGAGAGCCACTGGGCTAGATTATTCAAATCAATGCTTTCTCCTGGCCGGGCGTGGCTCAGTGGTTGAGCATCGACCTAGGATCTAAGCGATCGAGGTTTAATTCCCGGTCAGGGCACATGCCCGGGTTGCGGGCTAGGCAGCCGATCAATGACTCTCTCATCATTGATGTTTCTCTCTCTCTCTCTCCCCCTCCTTTCCTCTCTCTGAAATCAGTAAAGATATGTTTTTTAAAAAAAACAAAAAAACAAATCAATGCTCTCACTGAAAACAGCTACATAAAAATAGATATACTCTTAAAACATTCTCTTAAGAATACCAAAGAAAGTAATAAGTTACCGGACCAAAAATGAAGGGGAAGACAGAACCTAGAGAAGGAAGCAAGCATGAAAGCCACTTTTGCCCTGAAGGCTTTACTGATTCTACAGAACTCAAACTTTTAGTTGAGAGTCTTGGTGGGCAACAAGAACAAAAAGTAAGGCCCGGGACCTGCACAGGGAGTCTAGCAGGAGACCCTGCCCCACAATCAGCAAGGACTCCACAGAGCTCTGCTGGCAAGGGAAGGATGAACTAGCAGCACTAGAGCAGCCCTAGTGCAGAATCACAGCCCAGCTCGGGAGCCATGGCAGTTCAGGCAATCGCATGCCTCTAGTTCGGTTCACAGAGGTCCCAAACTGATAGTTGTCCCGGGGATCTGACCGAGCAAGTGCATATCACTTGGGGAGAGAAGTGCCTTCTTTTTAGGCCTTAAAGTATTCCTGTAAGTAATTTTTTCAAATACTGTGTCAAGCACACAAAGATAAGCTGATACACAAAGAAACTAGACTCCTCAAGGGAGAACCAGGGGAAACGAGAAAAAGCAGAATCAAACTCACAGAAATTCAAATTATCAAACTCAGATCACAAAGCAAGTATGCTGACTATGTTTAAGAAAATAAAAGCATGAAAGCATAATATTGGAAATGGTAAAAAGTGAAGATTTTTAAGAAAGAAAGAACTTCTAGAGATACAAAATATTTTGAACAAAATTAATAACTGGATGGCTAGGTTTTATATACATTAGCCAAAAATGGCCACTGTATGTTGTGCCTCTGCTTGTTTATATTTTCACAGCAGGCTGAGACCCATTCACTCAAAAGCTTTCTAAAAAAGCTTTTTTTAAAAATTAGCTTAAATTTTACTCATCCAGTTGTTTTAAATGTAGCCCAAATAAGCACATTTTTATTCTTTGAGACCCTGCCTGGTTTACATACCCCACAAACTTCCCACACATCTGCTGGCCATAGATAAGATAAACCCTAGGGCTATAACGAACCTAAGCTGCTGGTGCCTATCAGGCCTCAGGCAGTCTCTGCCCCTGGGGCCCCCACCCTGCAGCTGAGAGACCTCATCTAGAAATGTAAGCCCCCATCCAAATCCCCTCCTCCCTAGAATTATGTCGCCCTCCTCCCATTCTGGATGGTGGTCCCTGTGCCATAGCCTCCAGACAGTCACTTGCCATGAGGGACCTTTGAAAGTCACCCAAATAAAGTTTGTGGGGCCCAGCCGAACATGGCTCAGTGGTTGAGCATCCACCTAGGATGGAGGAGACTGTGGTTCGATTCCAATCAGGGCACAGGCCAGGGTTGAGGGCTCGACCCCCAGTCAGGGGCGTGCAGGAGGCAGCCAATCAATGACTCATCATTGATGTTTCTCTCTCTCTCTCTCTCCCTCTCTCCCCCCTCCTCTGAAATCAATAAAAACTTTTTTTTTTTTTAATGTAAACATGCCCTAGCCTGTTTGGCTCAATGGTTAGAGCGTTGACCTGTGGACTGAAGAGTCCCGGGTTCGATTCTGGCCAAGGGCATGTACCTCGGTTGCAGGGTCAATCCCTGGCCACCTGGTCTGTCTGGGCACATGTGGGAGGCAACCAATGGATGTGTCTCTATCACATCGATGTTTCTCTCTCTCTCCGTTCCACTCTCTCTGAAAAGCAATGGAAAAAATATCCTGGAGTGAAGATAAAAAAAAAAAGTGAACATAATAGATTGAATCTTTTACCAAAATTGGCAAAGTCCCTAAGATTGACTCAAGGTAGAAAAACAAAAATTTATTTCTTTTATTTGTTCTTACCAAGGATGAAAACTCTGAAGAGATCAAATTACAAGCCCAGTTTACTACTGAACTGCTGATGCTGGAAACTAGGCAATTAGGCAGACTCAAAGGACTCTTCCGTTGGAAGGAGGATACACAAGAATGTATTTTATGTAATATATAAATGGATTGTTCAATTGTATATCGAGCAATTTAATTGACGGGCATTTCTTCTGCCACAACTGACCACCTTTATTGACGTAAGATAAGCCACGGAAAGCGAAGCTGGGCTTATGCTAAGGACGTGTGCTCTCCGCCAGCCTCCTGCCCTGCCAACCACTTAAACAAGGTCCCCGAGGGGCCGAATTTCTTGTCAGCATGAAGTAAGTTAATAGTGCTCCTTGCTATTACATTTTCACATATTTTTTACTTTGATGTAGCTAATTTGCTGGTTTCATTTTTATTCTTTCCTCCTCCTACTCTGGGTGGTACGATGCCAATTGGAACTTTTTTTATTTTTTATTTTTATTTTTTTTATTGATTTCAGAGAGAGATGAAGGGAGTGGGAGAGAGAGAGAAACATCAATGATGAGAGTCATTGATGGGCTGCTTCCTGCACGCCCCCTGTTGGGGATGGAGCCCCTCAACCCGGGCATGTGCCCTGACTGGGAATCAAATCGGGATCTCCTGGATCCTAGGTCGACACTCAACTGCTGAGCCACGCAGGCCAAGCCGGAATTGGTTTTTGGAGAAGGGTGAGATTTAAAAATTTTGACACATGCAGAAATTTTACATTTAAATTTTGGTGGTTTCTAACCCAAACTAATGCCCAAGGAAATAATTTCCAAACATGGTTACCTCATAGGGTTAAATTAAAAATATCTGTACAGCCCGGCCGGGTGTGGCTCCGCGGTTGAGCATCGATTTAGGATCCAGGCGATCAGGGTTCGATTCCCGGTCGGGGCACATGCCCGGGTTGCGGGCTCGATCAATGGCTCTCTCGTCATTGATGGTTTCTCTCTCTCCCTCTCCTTTCCTCTCTCTGAAATCAATAAAGATATATTTTTAAAAATAAATAAATAAATATCTGTACAAGGCGGGGAAAAGTATGTTTACAGTTGCTCGTATAGAAAATACAATAGCCTGGCTGGGCGTGGCTCAGCGGTTGAGCGTCAACGTAGGATCTATAAGATCGCGGCTCGATTCCTGGTCAGGGCACATGCCCGGGTTGTGGGCTTGATCCCCAGTTAGGGGCATGCAGGAGGCAGCCGATCAATGACTCTCTCCCATCATTGATGTTCCTATCTCTCTCTCTCCTTCTCTCTCTTCCTTCTTCTCTCTGAAATCAATAAAGATATATATATTTTTAAAATACAATAATAAATAATAACAAGAATAAATTCTGTTTCATGTACTCACAACTGTAAACCTACTTTTCCCCCACCCTGTATATAACTGAATCTGTATACAGATATAGTATAGAATATGCTCTCTATCTATATATTATTTTATATCGATATGTACATGTATATGTGTGTATGTACGAAATGTTAAAGAAAAGGGGGTCATAATGTATGGCCTCTTGTGCGCTCTCAGTTCCCTGTGAAAAGAGAGCTCTAACAGAATCTACCCACAGGATTGTCAGGGAAACTAAATAATGGATGTAAAGTATTCTATACAGTACTTATAAGGTTGCTAAGTTCTTATAACATAGTTAAGTTCTAAGTATTTATAAAATGTCTACTACTATTGATCTTGTGGTAACCTTGAAGGAGACTCTGAAGTGTAACAAGCAAAGGAAGACAGTCCAGGAATGAGAAAGGTGTATGCAAAGCTATGGCAGTCAGAGAGTATAGTGTATGGAGCAAACTCAATGGCTAGACTGGGCAGGACAAGACTAGAGGCAGGGAGAGAACTGAAATAAGCAACGAGGACTGGAGCAGTGGCACAGGAGGAAGGAGACAGACAAAAGAGAGATCTAGAACACAGGGCTGGTGGGAACTGGTAAATGACTAGAGGGGGAATGAAGAGAGTGATGGATACCCTAGGATCTGATGTGATTTATACATTGCTGACATTGAACCAAAGAGCCTCACACATATTTTAGAGGGAGAAGTGAAAATATTTGATTTTAAAGTATCTGAGTTCATGTCAGGCATCTAGGTAAAGATCACCTACAGTATATTAGGCACACACAGAGAAGTTAGAAGTCAACATTCTTTTTAGAATATCGGATAAATATAAATATTGAAATAATTAGGTTCATATAGAATCACACTGGCAATAACAAAAGGGTGTTAATCAAGACTTATAGGTAGATAACAGTTTTGTCAATAACCCGGGAAGTATAGGGTAATTTGAACTGGAATTACGTTAAAAACAAATTTCCATCACTACCTCAGCTGCTTTGCCATTGTAAAGGCGAAAATGATTACAGGCCTTAAGGTTGAGTGCGATGGTGCTATCGGGAATTTGCTGAAGGTAAACAGCCAGAACTTCTTGAGACACATCATAGTAATCCAACTTGTAGTAACACAGAGCCACATAAACATTGAGGGCAAGATATTCCCTATTAGATAAAAGAATTAAAGGTTAACAGTTTAGTCTACTTCACAGACACGTGGTCAAACTACCGAGACTTCTTTAACGGCTAAAAAGGACAGCAAGGCGAAGAGGGTATGAATTCACCTTTTGAAGGAAGAAGGCAAGATGTAATCAGTGCAGTATTTTTCTCTTTGTATCGTAACATTAGGGTGTTTTGATAAGAAGAATAAAAGATGACAGCTAGAGAAGCAAGCGAGAAGTCCAACCCCTACGTGTTCATGTTAAAAACTCTAGCATATGCTGTAACTGAGTATCTGTGCAAATAAGCACGCACCACACAGCGGATGGACAGACAAAGCAAGCAGACCTGGTGACAGAAATGGGAATGGGTGGGAGACTGTGAAGGTAAAGCAAACGAAGGGAGAGCGAGGTGGGTGAAATATTTGGGGGATGTGGGAGAGAGGCCACGGGGTCAGTGATAAAGTTGCAATGTTAATTTTTCAGAATGGTTTGTTTCTAATTTTGTCAGCAAGTTACCTGAAGGTATTGCAACAGTGACACTGATACATCTACACCATACATTTTCAACAGGGGCGATGTCACCCCAAAATCAGGCAAAAATTGGTTCTTATAAAGAGGTGGGGCATTGTACTCATTTTATGTATAAAGCATAGAAGTACATACAATACATAAACAGATATACAGTATGTGTGTGGTATTAAAATTTCACAGGAGGGCAGTTGCAGGGGGAAAAAGAGCCTACAAAGGCTCCTTGGAAGGGTGACAATGAAATAAAGGTGGATGAACCTCGATCTAGACAATAAGGAGTTCTTACTCTCACCAGATCATTAGCTAACAGACTTGAACACATGTCAACACTAGATCCAAAGGACACTAGGTCCTCGGCCAAACTAGTTACAAAAGAAACTAACGAAATGAGATTGTGAGTAGACGCAAAAGGACACAGACCTGTTATCTAGCAGTATTCGCTTATAAATGTCAATAGCTTCTTGGTAGTGAGATCGCATATAGTGGATTGAGGCCAAACTGAGCTGATCTTCCGTGATATCCTGGAGGTTCTGGTGGAAGTTCATCAACTTCTTCTCATCATTAAACTAAAATTGAGAGAGAGACGAAGACATGTGAAGATGCATATTGGAGCACAGCCAAGGACATCAGCACCTATGTCATAGGCATTTCAACTCCTCCTCCAGCAGTTCTGTCCCTATGTTCTCCCTGTTTCCCTCCAGCTCATGTCTCCTCCTCTGTCTCGCCTTCGGAGAGAGAATGGGGGGCTCTGGAGGCCCAGTTTTGGCCACAGGAAGCCTTTAAGTTATAGTGGCTATTAGTTACTTGGCCCCTCTTCCTCTTACCTTCTTTTTCTTTTCTATTTCTTCCTTTATATTTTCTCCCTTTCTTTATTTTTTTTGTCTCTTTATCTTTTTTATAGGCTGTTTACGAGAGAGACAGTTAAAATATAAGGATACAAAAGAGGACAAAGTAAAAGGATGTAAAGAGATATAATAGGCCAACAGTAATCGAGAGAGAGCTGGTGTAACTACATAAACACGACAAAGTAGACTTTCTGTGAGAAAGAATTTTCACAGATAGAGACATTTTATAGCGATCTGGGTTTCAGTCCACTAGATGGACATACAAGAATTTCTAGTTACTTATTTCTTACCATTGTTGGTAACAAAAAAAAAGAGAAAAGTATTTTATTTTCTTTTTTTACTGAAGTGATTTTACTTTTATTTCCTTCACTTTAAGCCAATCATGAAATTTCACAGGGATTCTGGGGTGGGGGCAGAAGGAAGGGGGTGCTAAGAATCCTCGGGGTGTGGCCCACGTGGCCCACGGGGGTGAAGGTAGGGCAGGACTCGCTGGGGTGGCTGGAGGAGCACCGACTGTTGGCCGGTAGGTAGGTGCTAAGGAGGAAGTATTTTAAAAACAAAAAGTGTGGCCCAGACAGTGTGACTCAGCAGTTGAGCACTGACCTAGAATCCAGGAGATGGTGGTCCAATTCCTGGTCAGGGCACATGCCCGGGGGTTGTGGGCCTGATCCCCAGTAGGGGGAGTGCAGGAGGCAGCCAATCAATGACAACTCTCTCATCATTTATGTCTACCTCTTTCTCCCCCTCTCCCTTAAATCATTAAAATAAAATAAAATTAAATTATTAAATTAAATTAAATTAAATTAAATTAAAATAAAATAAAATAAAATAAAAAATAAAATAAAATATAAAACAAAATAAATAAAATAAAATATAAAATAAAATAAAATAAATAAAATAAAATAAATAAAATGAAATAAAATAAAATAAATAAAAAAATAAAATAAAATAAATAAAATAATAAATAAAATAAAATAATAAAATAAATAAAATAAAATAAAAATAAAAACAAAAAGTGTGAAATCACAATATGAATACCTTGTGAGCCAAGTGAAATAGGAGGCGGTTTTGAAGTCGGCTTTTTGGAGCTGGAAAAAAAAAATCCAAGCTGCTTATTAAAGAAATCAATTGCCTATGGCATGCAGGAATAACATGAAACTCATATAAATCTTCCCAAATCCTTACCTATCTGCTCCTATATCTCTGCTATATAATAATATTTATTATTTTAGTCTGGTCTCCACCTGTAAGAGCATTGAGAACCAGAAGAAAAACGTCCTCAGGTTCTGCTCTCCCCCACCACTTGTTCTACCTGATTCTTTATGCGACCACAGTGCAGCACTCCACACCCACCCACCACTGTGCTGCTCACCGACCCAAACACAGGAAATAAACAGTTACGGTCATTTCAATACATGTAGGAATCCCCTCTCATTTAGCTGTCCTTCCCAGTATTCTTTGTCAATGCCTTCTGAAATCTCCTTTTCCACAGTTCTACTGCCATGTTTTCTTAAGTGCTAGTCCAGCCTCTACTCCATAGGTCTCCTAGCACGATCATCTGCCACAATGAAACAGGTAGCGAAGCAAAAAGGCTGACACCTTTCAAGTTCAAAATCCCATTTGCACTCTTGGAGAATTTTACTAATTCTAGACACCCAATCCTGTATCTCTTTACAGAAAAAAGTCATACCTCAATTTTTAAAAAAGGAAAAATAGCCCTGGCCAGGTAGCTCATCTGGTTAGAGCATCGTCCCAATATGCCAAGGTTGCAGGTTCCATCCCCAGTCAAGGCACATACAAGAAGGAACCAATGAAAACACAAATAAGTAGAAAAACAAATCAATTTTTCTCTCTCAATAAAATAAATGTTTTTAATGAAAAAATATGTATGAAGAGATGCAGCTACCTTGATCACTTTCTATGTGTCTAACATTGTTCTAGGCAGAGATAAAGCAAGTAATTTAAAGGCCCTTATAATTAAATTAGGAAAGACTACATTAGTACATGTGACACAATTTGGGTACAAATCAATCAAGTTCCAGATTTTCCATGACTTTGAGCTGGAATTCCTTCTAAATACGTACACCAGTTAATTAGCTAAGAATCCTACCCTGGAATACATTCTTCCATAACAAATTTCCTAAAATACATTCCCTTGCCAACTTTCTCTACGTGTCTTTGAATTTAACTTGATTCACACTCTATTCTTAATCTTCCTCCCATACTGCCCTTTGCCCTACTCCTGTTTGCAAATTTGAGTCTAGTTCCCCTAAGATGACTGTCACAGCAGGTAAAGCGAAGGAAAGGCAGCACGGATTCTTCACACTGAAGTCACTTGGCTTCTCAGAGGCAGCAGCAGCAGCAGCTATGAAACCCACATCCACAGGAGCTTGAACAACCCCCGACTCCTACCAAGAGCACGGACACGCTGCCCTGATGGGGCCTGAGAAAGATGCCGCCCCCTTTTCTTCTCTCATTCTCCTGCCAGAAGCTGCAGCTTCTAAGAAAGGGGCGGCGGCCCAGCCGGGCGTGGCTCAGTGGTTGAGCACTGACCTAGGATACAGGAAATCCAGGTTCGATTCCCGGTCAGGGCACATGCCCGGGCTGCGGGCTCGATCCCCAGTTGGGCGCGTGCAGGAGGCAGCCGATCAATGACTCTCATC